CCTTCAGGACACACACACATGCCTGCAGAGCTGTAGCCAGCAGCTCTGGGTACACTCAGTTCCCAGCTGTGTGGCACAGCCCCCACAGAGCCTGTGGCCACAGTGGCTCACAAAGAGGCTGGAAGAGGCTGTGGTTACAGGTGGTGCTGTTCATGCAGCTACTCCTGACCCCCCTGGCAGGATAGCAGGAGCAGAAGCCACTGTGGCTGTGATCACACCCATCTCCTCTTCTCTGCAGAGAGGAGCCCCAGTGGCTCTCACCCACTTGCTCTTGCTCTTGCTACGGCATGCCCATGTGGGAGTAATGAGTGCTTTGGGCTGCAAATATACTTAGCTAATAACCATTACACAAACAAGGAGTAATTATCTCATTAAATGTACTGGCAGCACACGGGCTCCTCTGCTGTAAGACCGCACTCCCTCTTCTCTGGAAGGAGAAGCCTTTCCTTCTGAAGGAGATAACATGTCAAAATAATTTGTCAAAGATACATTTAAAGAGTTCTTCTGCTTCTCATTTCTGATGGTTTATGAAAGCTGCTGCCCCTGAGCAGCTCTTGTGTGTTTCTGTCTTGGAACTCCCAGGCCTGCCTCCCCAGCTCAATCTTTGAAGCACCATCAATTGAAAATACAGTGTTTGTTGGAAAGAAGTGGCTTGGTAGGGATAGGGTGAAGCTGCACAGGCTTCTGCTCTACTCACTTTTGAAAACAAGTTCAGTTTTAACTTCTGTTGGTAAGAGTGTGGTGGGCACATGGAATGGAAGTGAAATACTCTGGTGCTTGAATCTCAGTGCATGTGTCAGCTTTAGAAAGATTGGGATCAAAAAGAGAAGAGGCAAAATTAGGGCCAGAAATAGTTCCATAGTTATTTTAAATGCATCTTTCAGCATTTAAAGGAAAAATTTTTATTATTTTTGTTGGTGTAATATGGAGTTATTCTGTCAGAAATTTTACACTGCAAAAAATTATTGTAATTGGAATAATGATCTCCTTTTCCTCATGTAGGAATCCCACAGCAGATACTTGTAGTGTATTTGTATTTAGTGGTACACAAAATTATATAACAAAAATTTTAAGGCTGAGGAACACAGTTGTGTGTTTCACTACAGTTAATTCTCAACCTTTGCAAAATTACATAGCTGCTATGATATTTGAAGATGGATCTTCAAAATGCCATAAAAACCCATTATTTTCTTTCTTTGTAAGAAAGAAATCTTAGTAAGATTATGATAGTTTCCATACTGTGTCACAATTATGAGTAAGTGACTATACTACTTTTTGCTACTAGCTATTCCTAATCTGGTTTTTTTTTGCTTTTTCACTAGTGCTGATCCTTGTTGTTTCAGTACAATTGAGGGTACAGTGTGCTGGGACTCCTGATGGGAAGGAGTCCTAGAGGGGGAGAGGAAATGCCTTAAGGCTTGATACACTAAAAACACAGTAAAAATACAGTCTGAATTAGGATGTAATTTCTTTTGTTCTCACAAGCACTTCCCATTAGAAATTTGGGGTTTCTCAAGTTGTGTTAACAATTCATTATTGTTATCAGGTCTGATGCGCACTTCTGCTTAGTCACTGCTTGAACTCTCCATCATTCTGTGAGTTTTTCTGCTGTGAAATCCTTCCTGTGAAAACTTTGTAAGGTCCAAGTGCAATAATTCAGCTTTAATCACAAAAAAATTTTCATCCCACATGACTCAATTCATGTTTAGAACAGTGGTGTGATGTGGTTGGTGCCAGCCTCGGAATGGAACAGCCTGGAGACACCAGGAGTTCCCCATGGGCCTTTTCTTGCAGCCCTGCCTTGGGACAGGCACACCCACGTGTCATGAGCACAAGAGCATTCAACATGTAGAGGGATCTATCCAGGGGTTCCTCAGGCCTGGAACAAAATCTAATCTTATTAACTCTGAAAGAGCTTCCAAAAGTCAAACCTAATTTTGACTTTTGATTTTGTTCGCTCTGCCACTTTCTCCTTTTGTTTTATTTGGAGCAGGTGTTACTGTGTCGGGGATCTGTGGGCTCCTGGTGGGAATATTTAAAATTTTAGCAAAGCTGTAGCTGTGTTTTCTTTTAATACCTGAAGGTGGTTTTATTAATGTTGGGAGTTTAAAGCTTTGTAAAAATGTTTTTCTTTATACAAACAGTAGAAAAATAGATACTTATTAAATGAAGTTACATTTCAGAATATTTATTTATACTTGCATGATTTACTTTATGAGATAATACAACTTTTAAATAGTCAGTTGGTTTTGTCACATTTTGTCATCTGCCAAATAACTTGACAAATTTGCCATAAACTCCCTGACATTTTTTCTCAAAAGAGTTAGTTTTCTTCATTCTTTGCTGCCAGACAGGTCATGTATCTTTTCAGGCCTGAAGAATTTCTATCAGCTATTTAAATGCAAGGCCACAAAGAGAAAGCCAGACTCAGGCTGCAGCAGGCTGAACCAGGGTGATTCAGGACCAAAGGAGCTGCAGCACATAATTAAACAGTAACTGCACCCTGCTTTATATGTGGTGGTGTAAACTGGCTGCTTTTCCCGTCAGAAAGGGAAACGTGCGCCGTTACCAGAGACACTGCGTGAACACGGATGATGAAAATGGTTATCGAGCGACACTCAAAAAGTTGTTCTTTTTTTCCTCTACTACTTAGGCAGGGAATTTGACTAAAGATGGCTGCTGCCAGTTCCCTGCTGCCGAGGGAAGAGGATGCATCCCAGCTTCCCAGCTCTCGGTGCCGGCAGGAAAAGAAAGGGCAGAGCTGGGCATCGCTCTCCCCTTGGCGCTAATGGCAGCCGCCTTTGCTTTTACTCCCTGCAGCTGGGCTCAGAGCCAAGGGAATTATATACAGCCATGGCTGTGTGCTGAAAGGAGGAGGAGGATGTAGGGTAATCTTTCCCAAGGCTTCTTGCACCTCTCTTTGATGTTGCCCTCGGCAGCAAGTTTCTCTTCACCTGTAAGACAGTTCACAGTACTAAAACGGGACGAGAGAGATGCTATGAGCTTGTTTTTAGGGCAGCAAAAGAAATCTGGCACAAAGCAGGCATATTGTTGTGTTGGCCCTTAGACAAGGAGGTGACACATCCCCACCCCATGCAGCTGAGCAGCACAAGCAGGGAAAGCCTCCGAGTTGGAGCTGCCGCCGGCTTGTGGGTTTGTAGCTGAGCGCGGGCTGATTTCACAGGCCCTGCTAGCAGGTTTTACATCGTGGTGTCAGCAGCCTTACAGCAGTTTTTAAACAAGGCTGTGTTGAACTTGATGGGAGAAGAAATATTCTTTAAAAATCTATTGACAACAAGTGGTTTTTTTGATGGTTTTCAGAGAAGTACCTCAAAGCAGCAGGCTGTGTGACTGTGAGGCTTCCTAGGCACAAGTGTGACGATGAATGAAGAAGATGCACACAGGGACGTGCTTGTACTGATGAAGGCAGCACTGCAGCATGCTCCTGCTGTGTATATGTGGGGAGGGGAATAGCCTGGAGCTGCCACAGCACTGTCTGAAAACAACAGGCACACAAAGCAACAGTACCTGGAGTCTTGTGGCAGGGCCTGGAAATCAGCTCTGAAGGGTTCTCAGCACACCCTTCCTGAGGTTCTGCACAGGTGGCATTGTCCTTTTGTTTACCTGGCACTGGAGGGGGTGTGTACAGAGGAATATGCACAAGTTGATGCAAGTACTGGGGTTTGAAAAGCATTTTTTTTCCTGCAGGATGTAGTTGGCTGTGACTACTCACTTATTTGTTTATTAGCATCTAGTGCTGAAATGAAGTCATACCAACTTTTATCTTCTATAAACCAGATGGGCAGCTTTCCCAAGACACTGGGCTTCTGCTTTCCCTTCAAGCTGCTGTAACGGGCTTTTGCTGGCTGGCAGACTACTGCCAGTGCTGTGCAGGTAGCCTGCTGTCTGCTGTGGGGGCTTAAGGAAAGGAACCTGGAGCGGTTTCCTTGTCTTTGAAGGTGTTTCTGGCTCTGGCAGTTTGCTGACAGCGAGGCCTGTTTCCCTTTACTTCTTGTTGCTGTCGTAGCTTGCAGACTTGCCTTGCAGCTTTCCTATCTATCCCTTCTTTTACTTTCTTTGACCACAGGGAGCTCTCTGAGCATAAACTCATTTCTGCCCGTGTTCATGCCCTTGAAAAATAATCTTATGAGGGAGATCAGTGTATTGTAGCAATACCCAGGGATTTAAGCAAACTGAAGAACTCATATTTCATACTTTGTCCAAGGAAACACATAAGAAGGTGTAACTTTTGCCCTGAAGACCTGTAACAGTATATTCTGCCGAGGCTGATGCATCCTCTGAAGTCATCAGGTGATGTAAGCTATAGCTTCCAGGAAAAACAGAGGATTCAAATCAGTGTAATGCTGTAGGCAACTCATCTGACTGGTGGGAATGAACTGAAAAACAGGGAGGAACAGAAGTGGCTGCATTTGCACTGTGGGTTGACAAAGGTTTGAGCAGCTCAGTGTCTGCTGACTTGTACACTGGGCTTGTACCAGTGAGGAAAAGATCTCAGTAGTGCCTGGGACTCCACCAGTGGGACTGGGCTTCACAGAGCTCCGTTTGATCCCTGATTTAACCAAAATTCACAGGAATGATTGATTTTTATACCCATTAAGATTTCTTCCAAAACCAGTGGGAATACTCGAGACTATAAGCCTTTGCCAGACTAAGACTTGGAAACTAGTGCAATTTCTGTGTTTTACTTGATTTTTATTTTTTAATGTATCATGTAATAGGGGACAGAACATCCCAAGGACCTTTGTTTTGTACACAGAAGTGTTTCAGCCTCTGTGGATTAAAAGAAAAAAAACACAAAAAACAACAACAACAAAACAAAACCAAAAAATGAAACTAGAAAGCAACAGTTTGAAAACAAGGAAGGATTTTCTTGCTAAATATTTTCAGATCAAATGTATTTTAATAGAAATGTTAAAGATCACCATCTGTTGAATGCTGGCACTTTATTTAGATTTATCTGTTGCAAGTTTATATTTTAGGCATAGACAAACGAAAGAACTTTTTTTTTTTTTTTCAGAGAGTTGGATTGAACGATGTCTCAATGAAAGTGAAAACAAACGTTATTCCAGTCACACCTCTCTGGGGAATGTTTCTAACGATGAAAGTAAGTAACTTGTCATTCATTTAAAGTGAGTGTGAACATGTCCAAGTGCTCATTTCCTGCTGTATAAGTTGCTACAGCTCAATTAAATTTTTAGTACTGTGTATTTTAAAGAGTTAACTCTCTCGACCCACTCAATAGTGGAATTTTCTGGAATGTTTTAATTTGTAAAACGGAAATAATACTGTTTATTGGTTAAAACAATCAGAACAATTTGTGTGTCACTGAATAAAGGTTGGATGACCACTAAAATGTGCAGTTAGTATCAGCCTAGGAGAATAAACACCTGTTTTGTTTTTCACTGGTGAACACCATGTGATCAAAATACAGGAAAATATGTGCTGTTTTCCAACGCTACTATATCAAAACATTAATAAGAAAAACCTTCCCATTAAGAATTAAACAACCATGAGATTAAAAAAATCACTTACTAAAACATGATATTGCTTTCTTTTTAGTCAGAGGGAGAAAACCATAATCAATCTAGCTGATTTTAAAATATTTATTTTTTCTCTTTTAGTGATAATAATTTTAAGTCTTGATTTTTAACAATAGCAGGTAATCAAAATTACTTCAAAATAGTTTAAAGTAACCAAAATGTTTATTTTAAAATTGTAAGACAGTTTCTAGCCTACCATTTAGTTCTCCCTGTTTATGAAATTTCTATTCTGCTTAATTTGGCTAAAGCAAAATACTCTTCATGGTACTTTCCAGGACTTCATATATTCACATTACAAGATATTAATGCAGATTGAATTCTTTAATTCAATAACTAGTAATTTACATTTCATAAATACGTGTGTAGAAAGTATATGTTAAATAACTTCATTGCTGCAATTCCCTTTTACATTTTTTTTGCATTTTAAGAGAATTATTTGTCTTGACGTCATGGTAAAATTACATGCCTTGTAGCACAGTGTTGTAACAGACGATGAAATTTGCTGTATTGGGAGTCTTACTCTCATTTGTCTAGGGATATCTTTTGAGGGAATATTTCTGAAGGAGAAGGAAGATATTAGTAGAAAAATGGTAGTTATTCATGACTCCCAAGATAAGAACAGTGGACAAGAATCTTTAAAGATAGTGAAACAGAGAGAGGTTTGGGGTTTTCTGTTTTTAAAAATTAAGGAACAGAAATTAGTTTGTCTTAAAAAAATTCTAGTGGATTGTAATGAAAATACAAACAGCAGCTTGTTTTGAATTTTATGAGAACATGTGAGATATACAAAGTTCATTTCACTCTGATGCTACTGAGACACTGATGGAAGAAATCCGTAATGAACGAGATGTGTCTTCAGACTCTTAATAAGGTCAGAATACAGGATTGTTAAATGTGCTTTATATTTGAGCATGAGAAACTTCCACAGAGCTGGGGCTAGTAAAACGAGGTTAACAAGAGCAGGTTTATTTCCACAGTGGCACTGAGAAGATGGGATGGTGGCTCATTCTGTTTTCTGGTTCTGGAACTGAGGGGCAAGCAATGATAATGAAAGGCAGTGAATTTAGAACTGATAAAACAAATACATAAATGAATTTGTTCCACTATTTGTGTGCAGAAGACATTGTCACAGCGTATAATGGAAACCCAAATGAGAGGCAGAGTTGATTTTATCTAGCTTCCTTCTTAATAGCCAGTTCTTCCAGATGCTTCCTTTGCACAGATTACCAGCATTTCTGCAGTGCAGATAAGAGAATTAATCCACCTGAAAAGTCATCCTTGTTTTGAGGGGGAGGTGAGGGAGGAGAGAAGGTGAAGAGGAAGAAGTAGGAAAGCAAAATAAGCCACAGCAATAATCTGTGAAATCCAGAACAAACTAGAAGTTTCACCATAGAAATCATTGTTCTATGTACTCCTTTCTAGCCCTCAAGCTCTTTCTAACATTTTTCTAATGCTGCCCGAACACCAGCCAAGACATTTCCAAACCATTGTGTCATCCTTTGTCCAGCCTCTGTCACATATTTACAAACAAATTACAGGAAAAATGTTTTGAGAAAACCCACATAATCCTATTTGAATTCTTCAAAATGGTGGTCAAATTGCTGTTGTCAGTGTAGGTCCAGTTTTCATCTGTGAGAAAAGAAAGCCTAATCCACCTTTGTCTTGCCTAGTTTTTTGTCTCTACATACATGAGGTAGCTGTTGGCTGGACTACTGGAGAAAATGTGGGTTTGGTTTTCAGTTCAGGTGGGTGGGTTTTTTTGGGCCTTGGCTCCACTGAAGATTATGAGAGCTTGTGCTGTGAACCCATAATGTTCTTACTGGGCATAATGCTTGCTCTTATGACTGGTTTTTTTCCTGGATGATTTTGGAGTTCATAGGATTTTAGGACAGGAATAATAGTTTTGCTGGTCTCCTTTTCTACAGCTGAAGTATGCTACAGAACCATACTTCAGGCCACAGGGGTCCTTTGCAGTCTTCCATTCTTATCCAGAGACCTCCAGGCCTCTTGAACTTGCATTACACTGGGAAAAGAAGCAATGACTCGTGGATTCACATAATCTCTGTGCTTCCTGCAGTGTTTTTTACCCTTTTGGAACATTTAATGACCTCTTCCAAAGCACACTTCTTTACATTCTAATATAAAAATTATCACTACATTTTGTTTCACTTTCCAACTTTTAAAACATTTTTCCTGCTGCCACTTCCACATTCCATGTTAGTCAAAAGACTCACAGGAAAAGGGAATGGTACAACCTTGTAGCCAATAATTAAAAACCAAAAAACCAAAAAACAACTGCATAACACTTTCTGTGTACTGCGCATTAAATCAGATTATCCAAATTGAAACAGAGATCTGGAAGAACACAAATAAAGGCGTATGAAAGTTTCAACTTCAGTTCCATGGAGAAAGAATCATGATGTCTCTTGCTTAAGTGGAAAGGTTGCTTGTCCAAATTTTCTTCCTCATTTGAAAATGTGAATGTGCAGTCTTCTTGTGAGATACAAGAAAATATTCAGACTACTTTTTCTGCTTCAAAAGTGGTGTTCAAAATCCATGTTCATACTGGCTGTAATGGACTTATCCAGCAGCTGTGTTTTTTGTTTGAACTGAACCTGTCATTCATCCATTTAAAAAAAATGTTTAAAAAATAGCTACTTATTTTCACTGAAATTTTCCTTGGAGAAAATTCTTTCTTTTTCAGTTATAATTACTCAGTGAGAACCATGCCCCCGTGTTTCTCAGAGGATTTGAAAAGATCCTACTGTTCTAAAAGCATGAAATACATGCTAATGAGCCTGAATCGATTTTATGGCTACATGTAAGTAATAGAAAAGATTGTTTAATATTAATAATATTATGATTTAATTAGATTATTATATTTTATATTAAGATTGTAATTTAGTGATAATTTAACAATAATTTAATTTTGGCTAAGGCCAAATCACTTCTGAGAACAGTCAGAATCTGGCCTCCAGGGGATACAGAGGAAGAAGATGTTTCTCTTAAATATGTGCAGCTACCTGAACGAAGGGAAGGATTTTATCTCTGTAAGATACTAACAGCATGTTAGCTCCTTAGTGGTTTCGAGACACATGTGGGCAGCACTGAAAAGTACAGGGCTTTCCAAATACCTTCAACAGTGGAAAAAAGGACTTGGCTCCATTTTAGTTGTGATAAACTAGCATCAACACTTTACAAAAATGGTGTGTCTTTGCTTTTGGTTGTTCCACTCTCTGTGTTTAAGGCATCAGGCTCAAATCTGCTGAGTACAGCTCCTGCTATCTCCATGTCTTGCACCAAGAAGTAAGAAATCCCTTGGGCTGTACCTAGAATCAGACAGCAAAAGTTAGAGGGTACCACTGAGAGCTCTGGGAAAGCCACAAAGATACAAACATGCACAAGATACAATCAGGATTCTACTTGAGTGGCTTTGAAACAGAATTTTTGGAAGTAAAATGGGGCAGTTAGCAAAGAATCTTCCATGGAGTTTGGGACAAAAGGGTTCTTTGATATCTCTGAGAGCCAACAGATACTGTTTTTCTAGAACATCCGTGATTCCTGGATTTATTAGTTTGAAGGCCCCTTCTTTGCTGAGAGTTTTACTTGAAATTGTCTAAGCTATTATCTGCATTCAGTTTGGGATGAGTACCAGGTTTTCCACCTAATCAGGTACCTTGAAGACACCTTTCCTTGGGATGCTGGTAGTCTTCCTACTGGCACTGGAATGAGCACACTAGATGGGTTTCTCCCTGATGTGCTGCTACTGTGAATTGAACAAGATTTTCCCTCGTGACTTTGAGCCCTTTTGGATTTGTCACAGAAGAATTGTCATGTCTCTTCTTTGACAGTGCCTCAAAGCAGGACTTCTTTTCAGTGACTTTAATTCCTAATTTCCTATTTCTACAAAATAGATTGGATTTTGAAAGTATTGAATTTTAAAAGGTATGGCTTTATTTTGATCTACAGTGTTGTTTTGATGTGAATTGATAAAATGACAGGCCAAAACGTAAAAAAATGCTGTTTTCCCTTCCCTCCTTCGTGCGAGACAAAGTGATCTGGTATCAGACCTGGGTCAAGAGTTAAACATTCTCTGCTAGATACGGACACCATTATGTGCCCTGCTGCCAGCTGAAATATAAAGTATAGGGATATTTATTATTTTCTGCTTATTATTAGTCAATTATCTGATGAGATGATGTTGTTAAACTAGACAAGGTAGAATTAGGAGCTTGTATATGTAATACAGAAAGTTTGTATTTCTAGGTCCCATATATTCCTGTGCCATCTGCAATCCTTTCCATCTTTTTAATAAAAAAGTGAAAGTTTGGCTGGTCCATTGGCAGAAAACAAAGTTGCACTATTTTCTTGTACAGAGAATTGACTTTGGGGTGACAAGCACTAACTTGGTGAAAAATTTGGCTTTGTTGAAATTGCAGTTGTTCAATGAAAATTAAAGCTTAAAGAAATTTTCTGAGTTCTAGTTGAAGTCCATCATTCTCCTTCTGGGTTTTAAGGGACAGTTAGAGATGGATGCTGAGGAGTCTTGAAGAAGAATCCCCAGGAAGCAAACATACCTGAGGAAGGAACCATAAATTGCAGTTTATGACCTGATTGTTAGTTTGTGGCGTTAGAACAAATCCTTACGTGGGAGGAGTTGAATATGGCTGGCTGAAGTGTGTGAGGGCAGGTTAGGTAAAGCGCCTGCCCACAGGAGCTCACTCTTAATGCGAGTGAAAAACGGGGGGAATGGAAAGGGTGTAGAGATGTTGTGTAACTGAGATATTGACTTGATGTTTGATGCCTGCCACGTGCCCAGAGGGGAATTCAGCCACCTTAGCACAGGTGGAAGCCATCCCATGGCAGGTCCTTGGGGGTGCGGGGCGGCAGCCACGGGCACTCGTCCCGGCTTTGCTGCACGCCGAGCGCCCGCCCGGGAAAAACAAACGAAACCCACAATTTAAAAGTGATTTGAGATGTGTATGTTGGTCCTGTGCGCTGAATAAAAGCGGGCCCTGAAAGGCAGGGAGGGAGTGTGCGGCCCAATAATTAGGGGCCCATTGTCATGCAGATGCAGGAGGGGGCTGCGCTGGGGGTCCGCTGCAGAACGGCATCTCCGGCGCTCGGGGGAGCGGCCGCGGGGTGAAGGATGTTCGGCCGGCACAGCTTCTTCCCCTGGCTAAGGCAACAAATCCTGGCGGATTTCTCGGCACACAGAGCCCTCCAAGCCGGGCTGCGTTGTTTGTTATGTATTTGTGTGCGTGGTCTCCCGTGACGGCACAAAAGGCCCCCCAAGAGGGTCTGATGTGCAGGGAGATAGCCCGGCTCCCGTAAGGTCCAGCATCATAAAGGCTCGCTAAAATAACTTCTAAAAGTTCATTACGTGAGGAAACGCAGCTTGCAGTGTGGTGTACAGGTTTCTCTCATGGTTTAGGTATCAAAGCCATCTATGCTGAATGCTTTCATCAGAGCTGTTAAAAATCTCAAAATGTGTTTGATACAACACTGTTTCCCAAATACCCTTCTGGAGCTGCTCATTGTGCTCCACTCTGCTTCCACCCAGGAATGTTTTATACATTTAACAAAACACAATTGGTTGGAATTATTATATACATATTTCTAAATTGTTTCAAATGAGCAAATGCAAATTAGGAAGAACCCAATATTTGAAGTTTTCTCTTAATTACCTTTTTCTTTATTCATCTTTTATCCAAAATTTTGGAAAGTCAGCGAATCAGAGTTGCCTCAGAAACAGTTAATGGGAAAAATGATCAGAGAAATCACCTGAAAAGGAATGAAGTCTGTTATACTATAAACACTTCTTCTCATTCACAATTAATCTCTGTAAATTTATAAACATCTAATATTTACCTTATGTTAGGATCAAACAATGGGTGTACCTCATTTACATGCCTTTAAATGCCTTATCTAATATAAAACTTGTGTAAGGCAACAGTTCCCTTATAGCAAGTGAAACTGTTTACATGTTCTGACATGCTGGTAGAGATCTAAGAGTTGTTTTTTTTTCCACATAAATTTATCCTTTTCAATGTCAATACTCTTAGGCACCACTCTGCTGCTATCAGTGATATTTGCAGCATTTACTGCCTTAAGCAGTATCTACAGATGGTCATTTAGGGATCACCATTGTTTAAATTTCCAAAATTTAGCCAAAATTTTGAGAAGGCTTTGGCACTTGAGCACATTTTAATTTTTTTTAAAATATTTTAATTAGTTTTAAAAAAAATTCTTAACGTTCAATTTTTTTTTTCTTTTTAAAAAACAGTTCATGAATTCCCAAGAAATTCCTGTTGAAATTACATAGCTATTGCTGTTTGTTTCTTAACAGATGAGGAAAAAGAAAATAATAGAGCATCAAAACCGCATTCAACTCCAGCTACACTGCAATGGTAAGATGCCTTTTAAAAAAATAAAGAAAATCTATTAGTGTTTTTTCTTATGTGTTTTCCAGATGAAGGAATAGAGCTCTTATCCATCTTAGAGTTCTAAAGATACTTTCACTGTAAGTGTTTAATGTGCCTGTTTGTAACCCGTACAGCATTTCTCAACAAATGTCTTACAGGATTTGTTTGAACAGAGGAAACTTCTGATACAGTTTAGAAAATCTACTTAGCTTATTTGCCACCTTGCCAGCTGATTATTTGTGGTTTGTCATCATTGTTACATTTATTACAAAAAGAAAACTAGTACTGAGGGTTTTTTTCAAGAATCACATTTGTTTCAGTGTCTGATGAAGACCACCCTTAACAACTGCTTTACTGACATGAGACCTCTGTAATTTAACGTAGAAGACAACAAAAGGAAAGAGTATGAGGTTTCATTAATTTGTCAAAACCTCCTTGCAAAGTTAGTGAGGAGAAAAAAAGGAAGGGTAATTAGGAAGAGAGAGAGGATAGTTTGTAAGTCTACCATGCTATAAAAAATAAACAAGTGCTGTTCCCTGTGATTTACAGCAGTATTTTAGTCTGCATGTTCTGTAATGTGTACCTGTAATTCTGACATCCCTTGCTATAGGTCATCTCTTATACTTTGTTGACTTTTGCCTCAATTTAGGTTTTTAATTCTTGTTTAGATTTCTTAATATTGTAAGTGATCAAGTATCTTTCGAGAGGTTCCATGTATCTGGCAGAACAGAGCTCTGTTACAGAGAAGCCTCTGAGAATGCTTATACGAAATCCCATAGTCTTCAGCTTGTTTTAAGCCTTTTTAAAGAAAGGCCTTTACTTTATCCGTAAGTATCTGAAGTACTTACTGTACTTTCTGAATGAAAAGATACGATTATTGGTAAAAAATGTTAGCAAAGTTCTTTCTCTACTTCTGTCAGTGTCTTTGGAGATTTCACTAAAAAAAACCAGCAAAGAATAATTCATTCAGTGTATTTTACTCCATTTTTCTGCCTGTGAAATTATATGATTCTGTAAAATATGCATAAAGATGATTTGGATTATTTCTTCTATATTTGCTTTTTAAAGTTGATTGGTGAGGTTTTTAGACTAAAAAACCTCAAGACCTGTGGGTTGATTTTGAATAGGTTGCTGTCAGTATTCAGAAACTTACAGATATTTTCAATGCAAATAATGAGATGGGCAAATGTAAATAAAGGCATTTAGTTTGGAGCTATTGTTTCTTTGTACCTATTTGTATCACAGAAGTCCTGTTTTTCAGAAGTTCAAGAAAAGTGAGGAACTTTTCTTTAACAAACTCTCAAGGAAGGGAGTAACTACAGACAGAGAGAAAATTATTAAAATAATAATGAAACGTCATAGTGATATTTTATTATTTTTCATTATTCATTCCCACAGCTTTAACACAGGTCAAAGAGGATAATAAAGAACTATCTAGCTAAAATACAATAGCAAGCAGGTCCTACCAGTCCCAGATTCTGAGCAGTGTTTATTTTGCAGTGAAGTCAGTTAAGAGCCTTTTCCAGAGGAGCAAATAATGTCGTAGCCAAGAAGCTGGCATTAATTAGAACATCCAACGATACAGTTCCCAGCAGAAAACATGCAAATACTGTAAACAGTCTTTTTTGCCAAATACTTTCAAGCTTCATCAGTCATAAAGGTTAGTAAATCCCTAAACTCCTGGGATATTGAGCCCTGCTGGAATACAGTGTGCACACTAATGCTCATTCAGCAGTAGAATCCTAGAATTCTGGTTCTGAAAAGGCTGCTTGCAACTTCTCTCTAGCTATTGGCTTACTACCTGTCTGTTGTATTATGTTTCTTACATGTCAAGGTAGGTCAAATATTCTCCCCTTTGAGTCATCTGGAGCATCTGCAATTTCCTCCATTCAAAAATCACCTTCCACCCAAAATTCCATGAGTTAACAGAAAGCAAGGACGTTTCATGTTGAAAATCTTTAGCTGCTGTCAAACTGAATTATACAATTGGCTGAATTTATTAACAGGGATGTAGGTAAAAATTTCCCAGTTTCCCAGCCATACCTACAGAACAGTTTTCTGGTAGTTTCCATATGTTTTTCAACATATGTGCTGCAGCTTTGAATTGGTATTTCCTGGAGAAATTGATATACAAGATAAAATGAGAAGCTCAAAAGTTAGGGTCAAACTGCTAAAGTACCAAGCTTATTTTGAGTGAAGATGTGCAGTTTCCACTGTTCTGGAAAGTCAGACACATTAGCATTGGGTTATTTGTACTGCAGTAGCACCCAGCAACCCGTGGGCTGGTGAACTGTTGTGATCAGCACTGTAGAATTGCTGCACAGAGCACTTCCTGGAGGTGTAGCTTTACATATTGGACAGTTTTCTCGCTCAGCCAACAAGTGAGTACCACACAGCTGCTCACTCCCTCCTTCTCCTTCCCTGCTCTCACTGGGATGGGGAGGAGAGTTGGAAAAAGGTAAAACCCATAGGCTGAGATAAGGACAGATGAATAATTAAAGTAAAATAAGATAATAATAATACTAATAGTGTTAATGAAAGTGAAAAAGCATAATGAAACACAAGAAAAAAACAGGTGATGCACAATGCAGTTGCTGACCAAGGCCCAGCCCATCTCTGAGCAGTGATGGGCATCTCACAGCCAGCTTCCCTCTGATTATTTGCTGGGTATGATGTTCTATGGTATGGAATATTCCTTTGGCCTGTTCAGGTCAGCTGTTCTCATTGTGAGCACCCCCAGCTTCTTGTGCAGCTCCTCTCAGGCACAATGTGGGCGACTGGAGATTAAGCACAATTTAGTAACACGTGAAAGTGTTATCAACATTATTCTCATGCTAAACCCAAAACACAGCACAGTACCAGCCACTGGGAAAAACTAAATAACCCATTCCCAGCCAAAAGCAGAACATCAGGCCTCACACCAGGTATTTGCACACTCAGGGGAGACTGAAAAATGTATCTGAGTGTTCCTTCATCAAGTGTGTGTCCTGTCTTCTAACAATCTCTGGGCTGAATTCAGGAGGTGGAATTGGTGGGGTAAATCATTGACCAGTTTTCAGGATACAGTACCAAACTGCCCTTGTTCTGGCAAATGGAAACCTCACAATTGTCTGTAGCATCTGGTATCTGCCAAGTTAAAACTGCTCACGTTTTACTGTTAGATGCTACTACCATGAGAGCTACTGAAGGTGACAAAGTGTCAAAAACCAGAAACTGAGTAAATGTCAAGTGGAACAAAAAAGAAGAGGAAGAAAGCAGTAGGGAAAGCATAGTAAAGACATAAGGAAAATATGTACATTTTGTCACATGGTTCATATTGCCATCAGCTTTATTAGTTCTTCCTTGTCTGGAATCTTGCTGTAAAGAGCAAATTATATCAGTCCCATGGGGAGATATCCTTACTGTTTGTGCTTCTTCAAAGGTAAAAATACATTGAACATTTTAAATGTGGAGGATGAAGAATAGCTGAAGAAGCCAAGAATCGTGTCTGGATGACTGTCAGCCTGGCTAAATAGCCTTTTCCTGGAAACAGGAATGATGCTTTTGTTTTGCATTGTTGATGACACAAAATGAAGTGAAAGGTCTGGTAAATGTAGCATTACTGCCAAATACATCATAATTGAAGAAACTGCCAAATACATCATAATTTGGGAAACTACACAAGCTTGAATTTAACTGTTAAGGCATGAATATAGCAATACCTGGTATTCTGTGCTTATCCCGTGTTCCTGTGCTCATTATCATCTGTAAAGCTACAGCTTGGCTCTAAAATGTTCGTGTTTATTTCAGTGGTGAACTGGTTGACCAAGGTGTAAGTGTAAAATTTTATTTTACTTCGTTTTTGGTGTGTATGTGTCTGTGTATGTTTACTTCCCCAAACACAGAATTATTCCAAGTACAGACAGCCTAATCCCATGCAGTTTGCTGGCTTACAGTGTAGGTATTCTGAATAATAACAGTATTGTGAAGCTAAAGTCAACAAAACTATTCTGTTTTCTGCAACATACATAAAATGAATTTTAAAAGAGCAAGGTAAAACACAGTCAGGTAATGGATTCTCCCCAGATTCATACTTCCTTATATCTTGTTACACTCCATCAAAATTAACCTGTTCTAGAATCTTCTACGTGATTAACAGTGGTTAACATCACAGTGGTTCAGTGGTCATAAAAATGAATCTGTAACAACACTACAGATGTGACTCTGATATAGAATAATCTCTTTTAATCTAGAACTATGTAGGTGTATAGAGAGGGAAGCAGTAATAGGGACAGATAAAATTGTCATTCCTGTGGAAGGATTAAGGGCTTTATTCCTACACTGCAGTGGTACAAAAGGTCTCATTGTGAGCTGCTGGATTTCACGTGGCTTTATTACAACACTATATAAAATGTTTATATCTTTATATATGTATATTTTATAACTGGTAATGATTTGTTAGGTAGGAGATTGCATTCATTATTTTTCTACAATACTGTAGAATGAAGCCGGATTCAAAATACGATAAAGTTGTTAAATAAAAGACAGGAAAATAAAAGAAGTGGAGCAAGATGGGTTTTTGATCATTAAAAAAAAAGTTCAGGTATAATGGGGCATTGTTCAGTGTCAGACTAATGACTCTCTGTGAAAGAGAGGAGAAAAAGAGAAAAATTCATCAGATATGAAGAGAAATAATTAACTGCTTTTCTTTCTGTCCTGTCTTGGTCACGGAAGCTGACATTCCAATTAGCAGCTATAGTATACAAACGAACTCTCCAGGTTTTGAAAAGAGGTTTTGTTAGAGCACTATGAAATTGAGGAAAGATGCCATGATGATATTTCTGTAGAAACCAGGGAAGAATAGATGTTGCCCATACAAACTGATTCCATTCATCCAGCCGGATATCTTATTAAAATAGTTTGCAGTCACAAATTATCACTATAACTGAAATGGAAGGTAGGTAGGTCCTGAAAAAGGCAATGAAGGAGAGAAAGAAGATATTTGGAAGGTGTTCTACAGCTATCAAATGGCAGGGGATTATTTGATGTAAAACTGGAGTTTTTTGAGAACATATATTTATTTTTTAATGCAATGAAGAGGAAGTTAGACCTAACTTCTTCCCTTACCCAGCGAGGCAGACAAGCACACATGTGACTGTAGATGCCTATGACTGACACCATCAATGACAAGATTAATTATGGTTTAATGTTGAGTATGTAAGTAACTATAGCTCTTGAACATTTTTGGGTCAGCAATCATAAAAATGGCATTTCAAAGGAAAATTTCTTCTAATCTGTAGATTTGTAATGAGACCAGATTCAAGCTTTAGCTTGCTCCTATATTTGACATATAATTTAAAATTTTATGGTTGTATATTAGCATGTATGAAAAAATAAGGATAGTTTCTAAAAGGTAGAAGAGGATGTTATTTCACTGGGGTTTTTTCAGCATTGTATTCAATGTGGTTTCTTGTGGTTTCTTTTTGGTTTTTTGCTTTGCCCATAAACAATAGCTAGAAAATATTACACAATAAGATTTTGTGGACACTGTTGAGTATTAGCGAATTATTTGCTTTAGCCGCACCTGCTTCCTCAAGGTAAGCAATTTTGCAGCTGGACAGGAGTGAAAGGAGTGTCACGAACCAAAGGTGATGTATTCTGTAAAGAAGGAGAGAATGTTTCCCCTCAGTGAGTATTTATTGTTTCATAGTTGTACATATATTTGTTTACTGCAGGATGCTTTTAGGATATAACAGATTGCTGGGAACTCACAGCCTGTGCTTTTGATAGCACGTGTGAACCAAATGAAGCAAGTAAGTATTATGGGAATGAATTGGAAGGAGCACTTAGGAACAAAGCAGACAAAATTTAGTAGACAAGATAAAGTCAGAATGTTTGCTTTTAAGAGGTGAAGCTTTGTATACTGTTTTCTATACAGGACATCCAACATACTTGCAGTTTTCTCTGTTTGATGTTTGCTTTTTAAGGCTGGAGGAGAACTATGAGATTGCAGAAGGTGTTTGCATTCCTCGAAGTGCTCTCTACATGCATTACCTGGACTTCTGTGAGAAAAACGACACGCAACCTGTTAATGCTGCCAGCTTTGGGAAGGTAAGTCTAAACTGCAGTATGGCACCTAAAAATCTCACCTGGTTCAGGTGAATTTGTATTATTGAAAAGAATGAAATCTTTTACTGTTAGAAACAGAGGTATATGAATGAAATCTCTTGTGTGTATTCAAGTTATTGGATGAAGGCTAAGATTATAAGTATTTTGATGGTTGGAATAATTTTTAACCATGGCTAGGCGCCAGAGTATGTCAGTCCCCAGCCTAGCTGATGGTGATCTGGTACAAAAAATTGGCAATTAAAATTGAATTGGAAGTTGAATAAAAGCCAGTGTAAACACGTCTGCATTATGACCTGCGTTGCTTAAACAAGTATATAATTTTTTGAAAACAGAAGGGTAAAATTGAATTCTGGAGCGTGTCTGTGCTGTTCTTGTAAGCATGATATGGTTATCCCCAAATTAATGATATAGAATGTTGTGGCTATTTCTCGTGGTGGAGTAAAATGCCTCCAGATGCGAAAGTCCAGAAAGCGTCTAGCTGCCTTTGTGTGCACTGCAGGCACAGGCTGCGAAGCTATCCAAGTTATCTTTTCACTGTCATTCCTCGTGCCTCCCTTTCCAATCCTGCTCTAGTATGAGCCACTCTGGTTAACTCCAGATTCACAGTGGAGATGCACTCCTAGCACAGACATAGCTGTGCCTCATCCGGGTGTGAGCAGTAAAGCTCTACACTGGTAGCAGATGTTAGTAGCTGACTAGAAGGTTACATAAAATTTAAGGTATTTTGGATTTGCTGGTCAGGTGATATTTTCCTCTCAGTGAAAAACAGCATGATATGTAAAACTGAAATTCTGCCACAGAATGTATCTCAGGCCTTTAAAACCTGTAGGCTGTGAAAAAAACAGTGTAGAGTTTGCCACCATTTTTGAAATGCTTGCAAGCATGAATCTGAAGCCCATTGTCCCGCAAGCTGTTCTCTTTTAGTCTTTGCAACATTTGTTCTATAGAAGTTCTGGGTATTCAAAGAAGGAAAAAATGTTTCTAGGGTAAGTGCTTGTGTTAAGAGTAGGTGAAGGATGTATTTAATGAGGTGACATTTTCTATAGTGCATCTTTAGGCAGGCAGTTTGGCAAGGAAAATAAAGTGTAATGTGTTGTAATGTTACTATATTTGTTGTGTCTTGAAGACCTGCATAACTCAGTAGATTCTGTGTCAGGTTTCTGTTTAAATACTTAGGAGAATTGTGAATGAAGTTGTTCATTGTACATATTATTGCTACCAAGTGATAAGTATAGTGGCAACATGTAATTTAGGAACAGTGAAAATAAGAAACAGATTTCATGCAGGCTCACACATTTGGAACACAGAACAAATTTGCACAATGCTACTTCTGCTGCTGCTAGAAACTTCTGTAAATTGTAAGGTGTAAATATTCCAGAATTATTCCATCAGAACATAAATTTACCAGGGATTTCACCATTTATCAGTATGTGGCAGTTTTGTTATAGTGTTTAATACTTCATTCCCTTTCTCTCCTGCCTCTCATACATAGACCTGTTCATTGGTAGGAGTCTTTTGACCTAGCAGGACAGGTACTACGATTTTCATCCAAAAATCACAGCATTCCAATGTGTTTTCCATGTGCTGTAGTCCACGTGTTTTCCCCTCTGTTGTAAAAGAGTTCTGAAGCACTGCTGCATGAAACTTTTTACCTTTTTTATGGAGAGGAAGGAAGTCCTACACAATCACCATGGTACTGTTTCACACTAGTACTTTGGGTGGCCATAACTTCTGCATCCGGGAACTGGCACTTCTGCACTGGTATGTCCAGGAACTTCAGACAATGGGGTGGTAAATATTGAAGTGAAACCAGCTTCTCTATCTGCAGAACCTGAGCAGACCCCACTGATTCTTTCCAGCCTGCTACTGCTAACAAAATGTACTGCACAGGTATAGAGATCTGCAAGGCACATCTGCATTCTCTCAATAGCTTGCAGTCAGCTTCTCCTTTGGAGCACGTTCATGTATGAAGTTGTAGCCAACATCTGTTATCATATGACTTAAATGCCATATTGGCAAGATGAGTTGCACAAATGCCTTGGAGGCAGCTGGAGCAGTGCAGTGAAATAGGTGTTATTTAAGGCATTCTGGGCTCAGCTGCTGCAAGAGAAACCCTGGACACGTTTGTCTTCATTGGGAAACATCAGGAGCCCTGCAGCTGTCTCTCCTCCAGAGAAAGGAGCTAGTTGTTCTGTGAAATTGTAGACAGTTTGCCTTTCTGTAGACCACGTTGAATTTATAATTCATCTCTGAACTTTAGCTCTGTGGGCAATGTGAAATATTAAGGCTTTTTCTTCAACAAACTGGCAGTTTTTAAAAAGAGACGTGGAGTTCAGCACATTAAAACAAACTCTAATAAGTAACAGTGGTTTCTGTCAAACTTCTAGGACATGGACTGGACTTCAGATACTTGGTAATATTGCATTAATGAAACCAAAATTGGTTTGGGGAGTAGAGAGATTAACAGAGAGACAGTAGTACAGACTGTTTTCTGAGGAAACCGAGCTAATAGCAATTAAAGGATCAAGAAGAGCAAAGAACAGAAATACTGTATAAATAAACATCTTTTAAAAAGCAACCCATTCTCCTAAGCCACATAAAGAATATACAAAATCAGGAATACTCTAATATGGTTGTTAATGGGATATTAACATCATATTTCTCATATGGCAAAGGGAGTTGTAACTTTGTTAGTCAAGATTTTAGTGTTTTACTTATTTAACATGCAAAAATTACAGGCAGTAATCTATACCAGCATTTGCCAATCTGCTATGCTACCTAGTCTGTCACTACAGTACTTTTTATTGTCTGTGAAGGACAGGACCCAGCATTCTTTTATATATCTTGAATAAATAGTAATTAGGGAGAGCCCTGTAATTTGGTGGTTACAGCTCAGCATCAAGTGCAGAGTCCAGCGTTAAACTCCTGCTCTTACTGTAGACAGCCAAACATATTGTATCTTGATTTTGTGCAAAAGTAGGCAGAAGAAGCAAAAATGTTCCATGGAACCAGTGAGAAGACAGGGAGGTACAGCGGGGCAGGGCAGGTGTGTCGCCGAGTTATTAACAATTAAATGTTGAATATGAGAACAAGCTCTCTCCCAGTGAACGTGTTTAGACTGTGAATTAGTCTGCAGGCAGGAGGAGTGAAAGCCCTGCTGCTGAGGTCACTTCAAAAGGACGGCAGCCCTGTAACCCTCAGCCCTGTGCTGCGAATGCCTTGGGCTCTGCTCTGGGACCCTGGGGCTCTGCACAGCACTTGGAGGTGTTTCCAGCTGAAAGTTCTGCCAGCCTCAGGGAAACTTGTGCAGATGTGTGTTTGGTTTGGGTTTTATCTGAGCAACATGTTAACACAAAATGCTGGTGATTATTAACAGACTGTGAAGAACTATGGTGGATGATGACTGACTTCTCATTCTTACTGGGTTTAATTGCAAAAACAAAATAATTTTTAATAAGGCCTTCATTGAATAAAAAAAAAAATAAATAAAAAAGCAGGAATGTTTTGGGTATTTCCAAAGCCCTCAGTAGCTATTGTGTAGGGTAAAGTGCCATAAGGCTCTCCTGGCTCTATCATTCCTCCCAGCTGTTAGCTGGGTGAAGGTTTTTGAGTTTCTAAGGTTTTTGAGTTTCTCTTTCCTTTTCTTTTATTTCCAACATTGATTTTTTTTTTCTTGCTTCTTTCGTGACCCTGTATGTACACTGTTTTCTTAGTCAGGACCCTCGGAGATAAACCTTCTTTATCTACAGCGATCTCTCCCATCCTCCGTGTCCTCGGGTGGTTTCTTTAACTTTACTGGGCAGTGCTAATTCCCCTGCCGTGCCCTGCCATAGCTCTCCCAGGGAACACTGAGAGAAACTGAGTGAAATCCCTTTGCAGCCTCACGAAGCTGAGCTCTTCCCAACTCCCATGTGCCCCCTGGAGGATAAATACTTTCCTCTTCTGGTTTTGTTTTCTTGGTTTTCTTTTCTTGGTTTTCTTTTTTTTTTTTTTTTTTTTTTTTGTTTTTTTTTCCCCCTTTTTTTTTTTGGTTT